AAAAAAAAAAGAGAAGAGGATAGAGAAAGATAGCAAGTGAACAATAGAGGGGATGTTAGTGAGAAACAGATATGGTTTATTATCTGTTGAAGATGACGTGTATAGTATTCTCAACTGGACTGGTCTGGGAAGTATTTCATGATGGGTGAAGTCTTTTAACAAGCAAAATGAGAAATAATGATTGACTGTTTTAAAAAATTATAATAATAATAATTATTGGGAAATGCATGGAAAAGACTTTGAATGATAAAGCGGGGAGATCGATGCCTCTGTATTGACTGACATGCATGGCATTCCCTTTTGAAAAAGCAATGGAAGTCAATGTAAAGTTATATGTAATCCAATGTAATATAAAGAAGATTATGATGATAATAAAAAAAAAAACTAGAGGGATTAAGTATGATGCCCACGATCTAATAGTAAAAAAAAAAAAAAAGAGAGAGAGAGAGGATTCTAATCTAGGTAATTGGATCTCAGAGGCTGGGCTCTTCACTACATTACACCAACCCGACTCCTTCTCGCAACATCCAGCTTAAGTGGAATTCGTTAATTACATAGAAGAATTTTCTTATTGACATACATATTATCAATGATTCCCTTTTCCTAACAATTGTCCTCATCCATATGCCATAAGAAACTATAGTTTAGAGCATTTATCTAATTGTCTTAAAGCAATGTTTACCTGTTACTCAACTAATAACCATTCCTGGTCTGACTAACCCTATTTGGAATAAAGTGACAGAGGCCAATACATCTCCCCTTCATGAAAGCAATTCTCTCAGGACTTCCCACGGTCCTGTCCTCAAACACACACACACATCTACAACAAAAGGGAAAGCGCATCATGCGGAAAGCTGGTACACGATCTAGGTACTGTTTGGGAAGTAAAATCATTCACACTTACTTTTTTGGTACACTTTTTGACGGTGTTGATTAATTCTTGTATTACCAGATCCACACTTTTCAAGGACGGCCCTTTCAGCTTTACAATCTGTTTTTTGACTATTGCTTCAAATGCCATATCTGGAGTAAACAATCCTGTCCTGAATGTAAGAGAGAAATCAGCACATTAGATGTTTTAAATGGAGTAATAATCCAATAACCTTCTGAAAAAAATGTTTAAACTGACATGTTGAAATTAAGTAGATAACAGATTAATTTTCAAAGGTAGGTAGTGATTTGTTCCATCTACAATACCATAATAATATGATCTTTCTTACTGCTAACTCATAATAAGTTCCAATCAAGGGGACATTATTAGCATTACCTAAAATCAGTGCCCAAAATGTTCTCCTGGCATCCAATGTGACCTTTAGCCAGTATTTAACAGTAACTTGTCTCATCCCATTTTTACAGCAATAAAACAGGAATGCTGCAGTAGAAATGGTGTAGATTTAAATTCGATTTCTAAGTATTTTAATAGCAATCCTCTCTTGCCCTTTGTGGATCTCATTTTTTGAGTGAATCTCATTTTTTGCACACTGAACGGCAGCATTTCTTCTACACAATCTACTCTTTGCAGGAGAGCGATATGAAGGTGAGAGGTTGGTTCCTCCCAACCTGCTGTTCTAGGGGGCTGGAGGAAGAAGACAGTAAGAGGAGCCGTAAGTTCACTTTAATATTTCAAGATGCTTAAATTAAATTATAAATTTATAAAAAATCATAAATGATTATCATAATAACAGCAGTCTTTCTTTCAGCTGGAATTCATTCAAATTGGTGTCATAACAATATTTTTCTCATGTTAAGTGGGTGTTCTAAGAAGCAGATGTGTGTGTATATCTGTGTGTGTGTGTGTGTGTGTGTGTGTGTGTGTGTGTGTATTTCATATAAAGTGAAAAAGATTACTCAAACTTTAAAAAAGTCAATAGCAGAAGGACCCTTGAACTCGATCATCAGCCATAACTAAAAACTATTTATTGTTGGCTTCAGGCTTTGGCACTGACCTTCCCCATTCCTGGACTCTCTCTCCCACCCCTTCTTACCTCTCTTTCTTTGGTTAGCTCCTCTATCTTCTACACCCAAGTCTATGGTACCTGTTCTAGTAAATGTCTTTAACATTTTCTTTACAGCAGCTTTGTTCAACATCCCTTATCATGTACTTAGCACTCTGTGCTCCTGTCTCTTTCTAATTATAGTAATCACACTTTATTACCATGGTAATTTCTCCACATTCAAGACAGGAGAAAATCCAAATGGTTTAATACAGTATCAGAAATTTGCCACTGGCTGGCCCTAATCTTCTTTTGTAGTCATTTTCTTCCTCTCATGTACCCAATGCTTTAGTGAATCTGCCTTTATTTGCACTAATGCTTTATGTCTTTGCCTTTGTCCATGATGTTCATTTCTCCCCCTCTACAACTGTAGCCTATTTGAATCCCACCTGTATTTCAAAGCCCAGATCAAAAGTACCCACTTCCTATAGCTCTAGTCCTGCCACTGAGGCACTCTTCCTTTAAACCCTCAGATTCTATTTTGAACGGCAGTGATGGGCACATGTTACAGACCTGTTACTACATTAGTAGGGAGGCCTGTTGTCCTATCTTGGTTTGCCCCACAAGGCCTGTCTCCCTCCCTTTCTAATGGCTGATATTCAGTGTCAGCAAAATAGAAGAAAAAAACTTCTCTTCCATCAGGTCTTCTATAAAAAATGATAGTTTCTATTGGGTCATCAGAAAAGTCATGATATATTTTTCTTTATTTTCCTATGCAAAAATGCTTCATGACTTTTTCAATGACCTAATATTATTCAAATAACTAATATAATCAAATATACAAAGATTTTCAAATTAATTATATTTAAGGGCCTAGATATATCTTATTCTCTCTCTCATTTTTTTTTTTTTGAGAGGTTTTTGCTATAGGGTGTGTGCACTTGCCAGACAGAGAGAGACAGAGAGACAGAAAGCAAGAAATCACCCCCCAGGGGGGATGGTCACGCTGCAATCCCTTCTCCTCCATTCTCCTCTCAGGACCTTGGGCACGCACACACAGGCGCCCGACGTGAGTTTTAAGCCACCGGGTCCGGGATGCAAACAGCCACTGACTACGTGGGAGTCCAGCGACATAGCCATTACGCTAACTGCTGGTCCCGATATATCTTATTCTCAAGGATGTTGTAAGAGAGAGAGAGAGAGAGATTGCACAGGTGACATGAGGAGACCTTTCCTGTGTTGCTACCTGCAGTTTGCTTTTGAGCCTTGGCCAGGCAGTCATGGGGCATATGTTTGGGTTCTGGATTCCTGTTATTGAGAGAAGCAGAATTTTTTAAAGGTGTATATGATAGTATAGTAAATGAGATTAGGAAAATACCAGATTGATCATATGCTCACCAATTTAAAACCATGAACCTATAAATCTTTAAATATGCAAGGAAAAAATTGACTATAGTATTTGAAAACTTTCTTATTCCACGATAATTTAGGGGATTACATTTTACAGCCAGAAAAAATCATAAACTATGAGTTTATGCCTTGATCTTAAACATGTCACTTGTTTCAGTCTATAGGTTTCCTAATTTGCACAAGGAAGTGCTGGATGGATTCAGCCAGGCCTATGGATGCAAAACAAACCAACAGTAAAAACAATGAACAATAAAAAACCTGTAGGATTCCAGATCTAGCAAGGTTAAGATATAATATTTTATTGGGTCATCAGAAAAGCCATGATATATTTTTCTTTATTTTCCTACGCACAAATGCTTCATGACTTTTTCAATGACCTAATATTATTCAAATAACTAATATAATCAAATATACAAAGATTTTCAAATTAATTATATTTAAGGGCCTAGATATATCTTATTCTCTCTCTCATTTTTTTTTTTTTGAGAGGTTTTTGCTATAGGGTGTGTGCACTTGCCAGACAGAGAGAGACAGAGAGACAGAAAGCAAGAAATCACCCCCCAGGGGGGATGGTCACGCTGCAATCCCTTCTCCTCCATTCTCCTCTCAGGACCTTGGGCACGCACACACAGGCGCCCGACGTGAGTTTTAAGCCACCGGGTCCGGGATGCAAACAGCCACTGACTACGTGGGAGTCCAGCGACATAGCCATTACGCTAACTGCTGGTCCCGATATATCTTATTCTCAAGGATGTTGTACATTTATCATCTTACCTTACGGCCAAATTAACCCCAGAATAATAACAAACCATCTCTTCTGTTGGTATGTATGTAAATCATAAATCTGAAAATCTGAATTACTGACATTTTGCAGACATCTTCAATAAAAATATATCTGGTAAAGAGTTTTACAAGCCTAGTAAAAGTACTGTATTCAGTTGAGTTAAAATAATTTATGAACCAAAAAATGTGATTCAGTTCCACTGCATTTATCAGATAAACATGTTCAAAACTAGGCCTGCTCAACTAAAGATCAACATGGTTTCTATACCAAATATATTCTGGATTTGATGGAAAAGAAATAGAATAGGGACTTATAAAACCTCTTGAGAGGGACCAACAGTTAGCGTAATGGCTATGTCGCTGGACTCCCTTGTAGTCGACCGCGGTTCACGTCCCGGACCCAGTGGCTTAAACTCACACTGGGCGCTGTGCGTGCATGCCCCAAGATCCCAAGAGGAGAATGGAGAAGAAGGGATTGCAGCATGGCCATCCCCCCTGGGCAGTGATTTCTCACTTTCTGTCTCTCTGTCTCTCTCTTTCTGGCGAGCACATGTGCCCTATAGCGAAAACCTCTCAAAAAAAAAAAAAAAAAAAAAACCTCTTGAGGATAAGAGAAAATACTGCATTTGGTTATTTTCCTCCTTTTCATTTTTTAATTTTTTTAGAAAGGAATCCTTGCTATAGGGATGTGCACTCGCCAGAGAGACAGAGAGAGACAGGGAGAAAGAAAGCGAGAAATCACACCCCAGAGGAGACCCCTTTCTTACATGAGATAATCTATGAACTAGGCAATCTAGTGTTGTTACCTGAGAAACAGAACACTTCGGTTTAGCACATACTCATTAAGGTATACTTAGTCTCCTGCACATGAACTCAAGATTTGTGTGTTTTATGCCCAGCATGCCCAGAAGTGCATCTGTGATCCTAGCCAACTGGAAGGCTAGGGAGGATCTTGACATGATAAGACCCTGGCAGGGATCTCTCTCTTTCTGCCTCTGGAAATACATAAGTAAACTTAGAAAAAATAAAGAAATGTGTCCTTCGAAATAACTTTTTCTTATCATAGTTTTTTAAAGATACCCTTATGGACTGAATGTTTGCACCTCCCCCCAAAATTCATATGTTGAAACACTACCCCTCAATGTGATTATATTTGGAGGAGGAGGTGCCTTTGAGAGGTGATTAGTGGGGCCCTCACAAATAGAATTAGTGTCCTTATTAAAGGAAGCCAGAGAACTAGTGAGCTGATTTTTGTTTTGTTTTTGTTTTGCTTCATTTTGTTTTTATATTACCATATGAGAATAAAACAATAAATCTGCAGTCTGCAAACTAGAAGAGGGCCCTCACCAGAATCCAACTATGCTGGCACCCTGATCTTCAAGTTTCAGCCTCCAGAACTGTGAGATGTAAGTGTCTGTTGTTTATAAGCCCCCCCCCCCCAGTGTATATGATATGAACAGACTAAAACAGGAAGTGACTTAAAATAATCTCACTTTAAACAGCGGAAATTCAGGTGTAAGCTACACTGTAGCCCACCTTCTGGGCTCACACCCCTCAGATCTCCCACCACATCCCTCAGGCCAGTCAGAACATGGGCCACTGTGGAAGCTATGCTTTCCCACCCATCCACCTTTGTGCACTCTGCTCCTTCCACCTGAAGACCCTTTCTTTGGTCTTCCAGCCTCAACAACCTCCGTACCACCCATACATCCTCTTGCGTCTTTTGCATCACCACCCACCTCATACTAGGAAGCTTCAAAAAGTTCTTAGGAAATGGAATTAAAAGTACCAGTTTATTTTGGTACAAAAACATTTTGAAATTTATATGTGTTTTTCTATTACCCATTTTCTGTAAAAATCTTTGAAGGTCCCTTGTACATATGCATGCACATACATAAGCCCACGTGCACACACACCACACCTTGGCCTGTTGAAATCGTTTTCTACTGGCAACGTTCAGCTCAAAAGTAACCACCTTTATGAATCTTTCTCAATCTTATTTTACTACTCCAGTCAAAATTAGTACTCTCTCCTCTGATTACTCATGAGCGCGACCACTTCCCTTGCTAAGCTATGAAGCTCTCTGCGCAGCAGGATCTTCATCTGTGACTCTCCTGTTGTGCAGAATACAGGCTGTACGCATGGACTGGGGTTTTTTAATGGGGAAAAAATTGAGTATGATGGCAATACAGAAAATCATCACTAAGCTCAAACTTGCACTTCCTATTTCGCAGTCCCACCTCTGTATTCTACTCTGTTCAGATGACAGAAAGGCTATTTCACTAGCCATTTATAAACATTAATTTTCCTTTGGTAGCTTGAGCGGAAGATAAGGAAAACATGAATCACTTGCCTGATCCCATGTATGTTTTTGATTGCATAGCTTATTTCTCTTCGCAATTCTTTCTCATTGAACTCCATCTGCAGATGCAAAACGAGCCATGGTTATGACACTTAATTCCTTTGAATAATAACGTTGTGGAATATTACAGAAGGAGAATAACTTGACTTAGTTATTAATAAATGGATACTCATGTCTCTCCTAACCTAAACCCAGATGGTCAAAACATCTGTGTATATAAAGTTCAAGGCAACATAGAACACTAGGGATTTCTGGGAGTTTTAGTGAAGCAGATTTTAACTCTGTTATGTATAAGGAGAGCTATGCATAAAGGATGCCTTCTGGACATAAATCTGGCCATTTATTTAAAATATATAATTCTTCATTCCTTTGCTGAACATAGTAAATCTGAGGACACTGGCGGATGCATAACTGAGGGTGTCGCCTGATGCGCAATAGCAGTACAGCTGTCCTGAGATTAATAATGACTGTCTTCTCTCTCTGGCCATATTAACCATCTGAGTTCAAGGTCTCTTTATAAGAGGAAATTAATAATATTTCACCAAACCAACACAGGATAGATTGTTGGATAAATATTTCCCAGAAGTCCTAGGGACCATAAATCTACTTGGAAGTAGGATCAAAGTGTCATAGGACTTAGACCTGAAAGAGATATTCAGACAACATGGGTTCAGTCCCTTACTTCTGAGACTGTCTGTGCATTCCTCTCACTCTTTATGCCCGAGAGTAACGCATTGCTTTAGGTCTCCATCCACACCCTGCAGCCTTATAGCTCAGAGGCTTTATCCTTCTTTTTTTCTGTCTGGAACACCTCCCAGCACACACACACATCTCATCCAGCTTAACTAGCTGCTCAGCTTTGCAAACAGCTCAGAAGCCTGGCTCCCTTATGTACTTGGGCTAAGATTCATGTCTGTGGGCTGTGTTTCCATAGCACCCCGGGCTGAAGTTTATCACTTGACTTAGCACATTTTAATGAAACTGTCTATTTACCCATCTGCCTCCCACATCGAAACATCAGTGCCCACCTCTTTGTAAAGGAGACAAGAAGCACAGAACCTAAAACTATTTAGTTGCCTTTTGGGCATTTCACACTTAGCATGTACAAAACTGAACTCTTGGTTCACACCTCCAAAACCACAGCGTTTCCTCAGTTCTCCACCTCTGATAGGTGATGCCACCATTCGCTCAGCTGTGAAAGCCAAAACCTTGGTGGTCATCTTGAATCTTCTCTTTCTTCCATCCTTCATATAAGTCCAAGCACTATTGCCCTTACCTCCCAAATCCCAGAGCCATTTATTTCTCCCCATCCTCTCATTGGAGCATTTATACTGGGAAGCTAAAGAAATTTAAGTTCAAGCTCTCTCCTTTGCACAAACCTCTTCCAAGTACCTTTGCCTAACTGAGTGTTAATAATTTTGTATTCTTCTTCTTCAAAGGGGTCCCAACTTGTAGACTCATCAGGCTTCACAGAATGTAGAGCTCCCCTGCTCTGGCCATACTCTTTTCTTTACCTTCCTCATTTTCTTGAGTCCACTCAGACCCTGTACAACCCAACAGGCATAATGGTTTTTATTTATTTATTTTTATCATCGAATGAGGTCATACGCTTGCTTTAACATTCCCATAACTTCCCATTGTTGACCATGAACACCTTACCTCTGCCCAGACCATCTTGGATAGAGAAGGAACTGCCTTCTGAGTACATTCCCTAGCCCGCCCTTCCTCTGCTGTGTACCAATTGTGACTGCTCCCTGCTGTAGGGCCCTACCCCAAAAGGCTGTTTCTGCCTTCAGTGACGGACTTTCCCCAGATCTTCACACAACTGACCTTTTCATGCCATTCTGGTCTCAGTGTAATAACCTCTAGTTAGAAAGAAGTTGCTGGAACATCATAGTAAAAGTGATTCAATCTCCTCTTTCTCACACTGCATCAGCATAATAATACTTATTTTGTCCATGAGTTAAATTTCTGTCTTTTACCACTAAATATGCAAGGACCTTCTCAGTCTTGATCATGAGCACCTAGAGCTTTGGCACACAGTAGGTATTCGGAAAGACTTTCAAATTAACTGAACAACAAATATACATTGTAGGAAACTCAATTAGTGTTTCCTGAAATAATCTGAAATATAATTATAATTAAGTAAAATCAGAACAACCATTTAAAAATAAATAAATAAAAAAGAAACAAGGAAAAAAGGAAAGAAACAAAGAAAAAAGAAAAAGAAAAAGAAAAAGAAAAAATTCTCTCCTAAATTTCATTACCTAAAGTGTGGATGTTTTGATTCCAAGGACTATCTTAGTCCCATACCATTCATGATTTTTTATTAAAGCATTTATAAAACACAATGCAGAAATTACATAAAACAAAAAGAAAAAATAGTAACACTCAGTACAAACCTTTACTATCTCAAAAGGAAAACGTTCATGGAAAATGCGGTTGATTTTAGCACCACCCGAGAGCTCCAGGGTGTCCACTTGGTCCCCAGACCCTTCAATTCTCTTCTCAAAGTCCACAGCAAATTGCTGAACCATTCTATAATTGCGAAGAAGGAATAAATTCAAGTTAAAGTTGTAAGGTTTTATATTCCTTATTTTATTTTACTACAGTTATTCTTTAGAATTTGTTTTCTGGTGTTCTTAGTGACACCTACTGGCAGAATTAACATTGCATGAGAAAGTACTCCACAAAATGAGATGATAGCAAGTATACATCGCTCAGATTTATTTTAGACATTTACTCAGAGTAAATGCGTGAGATATCTTTGTCTAAGTTCATTTTGTCCATGTGTCTGCAACCGTGAAATGGTATTTAAAGAGCATTTGAATTCAAAATTGACGCTAAGCAATAAAACTTCAGGTAGGATAGTCAAATGAACCTTGGCTCCTATGACATCGCACTTGCCCACTGAGCCCCTCAGGCTTTGTGAGCTACTCTTCCTCCCCAGTATCCTCCTCATCCTCTTATGTACTGTCCTACGTGACCTCAAGGGCATTACATCAAGGATTACCAAGAAACTCATTTCTGCAAACCTTCAGCTCCAGCTCTTAACTCTCCCATGAAGGACAGGCCCATACGCCCTGCTGTCTACTGGACATTTACTTCCTCATGGATACCTTGAATTCAGTATATCTAAACCTGAGCCCCTCAATTCCTTTCACTCCAAACCTGCTTATCCTACTTCCTGAATTTCCATCACAGTGGATGGTACTCTCACCTGAGGCAGAGAATCTGGAACTTCTACACTCCTCTTTCCTTGCCCCCAATACCGTCAACCTCTTGTCATATCCTCAGACAATGAGACTCTTCCTCTGCACCCCACTGGCACTGCCCTGTCCCAGCCTTGGCCATTCCTCCTGGGGTTTCTGAAGTCATGGCCAGCCTCCTTTTGGGTTTATCTTTGTAGAGGTCAGACCTCAAGGCCAGAACAATTCCGATTTGTAATTTCTACGCCTATGACTAGCTTTGGCTTTGTTTTTCAATGGCTCCCCATGATTTGATAATAAAACCAAAACTTAACCTATCACCCAAGGTTCTTAATGATCTGGCTCCAGCTGCCTCACCCTTATCCATACTTACCTTCCCAGCCAGCAGTAAGGAAGCCACCTGTAATTCCCCAAACACACCATGCCCCTACGCTTTTACACTTGCTTTTCTTTCTGTTCAGATACCATTCTCTTTGCCTCTTGCTACTTTGCCTGGCTAATTTTTATCTGTCCTGCAAGCCTCAGCTCAACCTCAGATAGGGTCACGATTTGTGAACCTATCTACCACCAGTCCTTATTGTTGCCCAGACCGAGGGCTCCTTCTCTACCTCTACAGCATATTTCTAGCACAGCTCACAGCAGAGGACATCGTCACTGTATGTGTGCCATCACTCATTTTCCTAAAGACAGGGACCATGCACTTTATGTATCTGTCCCCATGCACATAGTAAAGATAGTCTATAAATATTTGTTCAAAGATGGAATGAATTGCCCTAGAGTAGCTGATTAGAAACAAACAGAGGGGACCAGCAGTTAGCGTAATGGCTATGTCGCTAGATTCCCATGTAGTCGACCACAGTTCAAGTCCTGGACCTGGTGGCTTAAACTCATGCTGGGTGTGTGTGCGTGTGTGCACAAGATCCCAAGAAGAGAATGGAACAAGATCCCAAGAAGAGAATGGAACAAGATCCCAAGAAGAGAATGGAACAAGATCCCAAGAAGAGAATGGAGGCATGGAGATTGTGGCATGGCCATCCCCCCTGGAGGATGATTTCTCGCTTTCTGTCTCTCTGTCTCTCTCTGTCTTGCTGGCGAGCACCCACGTGCTATAGCAAAAAACAAACAAACAAACAAAAACCTTCCATTTGTGATTACTAGGTTTAAAAAACCTTCACTGTGACCTACTAAAACGGTTTTCAAATTCAAAATCTAATAGGAAAAAATATTTGAAACACCTAAATCTTGTATCTTTTTATTCCCTTTCACCAAAAGCATGGGTACTTAAAAACTACTGCAAATTATTTAGGCCAGAAGAGCCAGAATAGAATTGGTTTTAGCGATGTTCATGCATATGCTAATATTATTTTTAAAATACCTGAAATGGGATAACATGACATAAGCACTGACACTGGAAACTTTTAGAAAATGCACTCCAGAACTCTTTTCCCCAGTCTCTTACTCCAGTCACCAAGTTCACTTACAAATCCTAGAACAAGCTATACCAAAGTTCACACTGTCCGCTTGCCCACTTCCTTCCACCTGATGAGATCTCAAGCACCACATTCTCTGTTGGTTTACACCCTTCCTTGCAACTGCTTCCTCACCGGGGCCCTTAACGTTTTATACTAATCAGAAAGATGATCAGATTTAACACAATTCATTGCTTATATGACTGTTGTCCCTGCTCTACTATGACTTCTTCATGAGAACAAAAATCTTATTCATTACTGAATCCCTTGCAGATAACACAGAACCAGACACTGAACAGGGTACATGAAAAGATTAGAGGAAGAAAGAAGAAAGGCAAGAGGGATGGGAGGAAAAGAATAAAGAAATGTCTCAGAAAGAGGAATACGCTATGTACCATAAGAAAGGAGCTGAGTCAGCCTCCAAGCAAAGAACCCAGCTGTGACGAATTCTATAATCTGAGTAGGATGAAGTCACAGAGGCAAAATCCAGTCTTCAAGAACAGTTTCAGTTTCTCAGGATAATGAGCTAAGGCCTAAACAGAAATAGCTTTTCTTTCTCTGTAACTGTAGTGTTTTTACAAGAGCTTAACCAAACCCAAGAATAAAATGAAAGAATAAACAAAAAAGAGTGGCATACAAGAGAAGATTCTTTACTTGGTGATATTATTTTTTTAAAAGTGAGGGGATGTAAAATGATGCATTTAAGATGTTATTTAAATAAACTGAGCATTTATAAATTGCCCTATAATGGCCCCATAAATAAAGGCATTGCACTGTACATTTTAAATGCCAAATTAGGGGCACTTTGATTGCAAAACTGCAGAAAGATAAATGTAACATAAGATGAGCAAAAACATTTTTGGAGATAGATGTCAGGTGTCCTGAGGTTTCAGGTGGATGAGGGAGGGGTCTTTAGGTTTAGAGAGACCTGATACAGATGCAGCACAGGGAAAAGGGGCCAGCTGGGGCCAGAAGGAGCTCAGGGAATGAGTAAAGGCATAAGATGTTAGGGGCTGGCAGCTCTCTAATGACTCTGCAATCCTACCCCATGACCCCTCAGGGAAAAATATCTCATAGCCCAAGAATAAGATGGGAAGACCATGAAGGAGTGAAAAAAATGCTTGGTAGTTTTCACATTTGTATGTTTAAAGGGTTACATTAAGCTCATTATCAAAAAAGAAAAAGAGCTTTAACTGTAGTCTTATTATCCCTACTTTTTTATTGAATCCTTGGTTTTCATTCCTCTGAAAGATGCACACAGATAAGACCAATAAAATAGTTGAAAAGACAGTATCAGTGACATCAGTAGAAACAGTTATAAAACAGAGATGAGTGTTTCGCCTCTTCACTCACTTCTAAGGCTAAAGACCAATGAAACTAAGTTAGCATTATTTTACTCACTTACTAAATTTAGTTTAAAAAAACACAACTAAATTGGGTAATTGGTTAAATTTATAACAGAATAAGATCAACAAGTATTCTTCAAGAAAACAGACTCACTGGTCATAGTATACCATACAGAGAGCCTCATAGACTTGGCTGCTTCTATAAACCTAGAAAATGTGACAAATAGACTAAGGCAAAAGCAAACCGAGCAAAAGTAAACTGGTTAAAAATGTTGAACAAGAGACCAGCAGATGGCAAAATAGTTACGTCTCTGGACTCCCACATGGCCGACCATGGTTCAAGTTCCAGACCCAGTAGCCTGAAACTCACACCGGTCATATGTGCATGTGTGCCCCAAATCCTGAGAGGATAATGGAAGAAAAGAGATTGCACCATGGCCATCCCCCCGGGAGGTGATTTTTCACTTTCTGTCTCTCTAGCGAGTGCATGTGCCTTATAGCAAAAATCTCTCTTAAAAAATAATACTGAACAAAGGAATAGAAAGGTGACTCACTGCAGTAGTGCTTTGGTCTTCCTGGTAGGATCTTCTGGTTTGAAGTTTTTGTAGGCTTCTACTTCATGTTCTATGGAGAGCAACTGTCCCTGAAGTTTGTTCCTGAAGTTTGGCAGGGTATCTCGAATATGGTTGGTAAGTTGCTAAATAAAACAAAATAATACAAGCATTTAACAGATTGAAGACTAATTCATGAGACAGAAACTAGCCTCCACTGTTTTTTTCTAGTAATTCAAAACTCTAGCATTCATATCTATGTATTTGACAAATAGTGAGAAGCAGCTTCATCTCTCTCTCTCACTACCTTTCAAAGATGTTCAATACTGCTTCAATTTGAATCACTCGGACTCTCTCTTTATATTTGTGAAGATCCTATTAAAATTCAGCTAATGGGAAACAGCAGTTGGCATAATGGCTATGTCGCTGGACTCCCATGTAGTCGACCATGGTTCAAGTCCCAGACCGGGTGGCTTAAACTCATGCTGGGCCCATGTGAATGCATAACCAAGATCCCAAGAGGAGAATGGCATGGCCATCCGCCCTGGGGGGTGGTTTCTCACTTTCTGTCTCTATGTCTCTCTCTGTCTCTCTGACAAGCTCACACACCCTATAGCAGAAACCTCTCCAAAAAAAAAAAAAAAATGCAGCTAATGACACCAGTGAGGCTGCCCAGGAACACCTTAGCATGGGTTCATTTTTCAGATCATCTACTCTGTAGAAAAGAACCTTAAATTAGAATGTGGTAGAAA